AAAAATGTTTTACATATTCCTGAAAATATAAGCATTTTTTGGTATGAAGTTTTTCCAAAAAATGACAATAAAATACATAGTGTAGGAGGAAAACTTCAGTTTTTCTTGCTGAAGTTTTACAGATTAACTAAAAAACTTCAGCACCTGTGCTGAAGTTTTTGTGCAATATGAAATTTTAATTTATATTTTTATTTTTTACCCAGTGTAGGAGGAAAACTTCAGCTCTTCTTGCTGAAGTTTTTAAAGATTAACTGAAAAACTTCAGCACCTATGCTGAAGTTTTTTGTGCAATATATAATTTTAATTTATGTTTTATTTTTTTTACCTAGTGTAATAGGAAAACTTCAGCTCTTCCTGCTGAAGTTTTTAAATATTAACTAAAAAACTTCAGCACCTATGCTGAAGTTTTTTGTGCAATATGTAATTTTAATTTATGTTTTATTTTTTTACCCAGTGTAGGAGGAAAACTTCAGCTCATATTGCTGAAGTTTTTAAAGATTACGTAAAAAACTTCAGCAACTAATGCTTAAGTTTTTGAGCAATATGAAATTTTAATTTATGTTTTATTTTAACCAGTGTAGGAGGAAAACTTCAGCTCGTTTTGCTGAATTTTTTAAATATGAACTAAATAACTTCAGATTGTTTAGCAAATAAACAATGATAACACTCATATAATGTTTTAATATAATTTTTCTTCGTTGTGTTATTTGCCAGCTCGTTTTGTAAATAAACCAAAAATTTCAGCATATTTGTCGGATTAGAATGTTAGAATTCAACGTCAAATAGATTTAAAATGCAAATTTAGCATATCAGTGAAGTTCGTCAAACAACTTCAATCAATCAAAATTATTTTGAATTCTGAAGATGAATTTGAATACTTACAATGTATTTTGTAATTTTGAATTTGGAATTTAAATCTGGTTTAAATCTGGTTTGCGAGAGGCGATCTCAGGAGAGACGAAGTGATGGAGGAGATACGGAGGAGATCTGGAATTTGAATCTCGGTATGCTTGATGAATCTTTTATATGTTTTGGAAGGGGTATAATGGTCATATTATTACGGATTTTTTGTTAGTTGGTTACGAAATCAATAGTTTTAAAAATAGGGTATAGGTTAAAAGGTGACATAAATAAAGATACGACTGCAAATCACCCTATGAAATAGATCTCATTATCCATTGGGAAAATGCTGAAAGAACGCGGGGTGTTTGCGAGAATCGAACTTGGGACCTCTCGCACCCGAAGCGAGAATCATACTAGACCAAACACCCATCAATTTTTCGTTTACAGAGCTGTTGAGCCCGTTTGGCTTAACTGATTTAAGTAGCTGATAAGCATTAGGTGCTGAAAAGCACTTTTAAGTGCTGAAGCTGATTTAAAAAATAAGCAGTTACGTGTTTGGATAAAAGTGCTGAAATTAATAATAAGCAGCTGAATAATTGGGTATAGGAAGAGTTTTGTTTAAAAAAAATTATTTTAGGGATAAAATAGTAAATATTTTGGTCAAACCTAAAGTGCTTGTAAGCTGAAATTTGATAAGTGGGGAGACCACTTATGGCTTTGTCTTATTTTTGGCTTATAAGCACGTGGATAAGCCAAAAAGTACATATAAACTAGTTTGACCCGCTTATAAACTTAGCCAAACACCCTGTTAGAACAAAAACTCTCCTCTTTCCGTTATTCCTTCTTGAAAATTGATTAATCTCCTGTTGTACACAAAATCGGACCTAGGGTTTGCATGGTCATTCTTCCATTCCATTTTACAGTAGTGATCTAAATCAACATTCGAAGTTTTTTTATAATTGGATATTCATTCTTTGTCGATTTCGCAACTTGCTCTGAACTTGCGAGTCCAGCAACAGGTCGAATTCCCGTAGCAATGGATCAATCCAGCAATAATGTAATCATAGCTCTTCTCTTTATCCTTCTCCAGTTTTTTCTTTCCTATGCCTTTGCTTTGTTTTACTGATGTAAGTTGCTTGCTACCTTTAATGGATAAAAATGCAGGTCGTTGGAGTTGATAATACTTTTCGGAAGAAGTTCGACAAAGAAGAGTATCTGCAGCGTGCTCGTGAACGCGAAGAGAAGGTCTTTAAATCTCATAAATTATTTTCCATTTTCATGTTTTAGTTATTTACTTGTTAATTGATAAGGTTGATTTGTAATTTGATGCAGGAGGCGGATGGTCGGAAATCTAAGTGTAAGACATTACTAGTTGCCATTTCAGAATTTCTTCATTTTGATTTAACTTGGATGATTTTGTTTATTTGTCTTTTTAGTTTGGCTAGAGACCTGTATGCTAGTGTACTGATATGTGTGAGATGTAGAGAATCTCAAATTTTCCTAAAATATAAATTATTTTCTTTAGGATTGAAATGTACCAGAATAGTATAGGATGAACAAAGAAGATTTTTTTAGTCAATCCCAACTAGTTTGGAATGGATGTGTAACTGATTTATTGATGATGTACCCATTGAGTGATAGAGAATGAAAGTAGAAACCTTGGAGCCTAGAGTTTTACATGATTGAAACTGTAATCAATTTTGGTGCTGCAAGAGGACCTCCAGTGCAAAGGAAGCCCTTGAAACCAAGAGATTATCAAGTGGACCTCGAATCTCGTTTGGGAAAGACTCAGGTATGACACTACTTCTCCTCTTTTATCCCATCATCCTTATCTCTGTAGTTATTACGAAGCTTTCAGCCGTCAGTGCAAATTGAAGGCTCTTTTTTTAATTTTCTGAGTTGTGTATGAGAGGAATATAGACTATAGAGAGGACTTTTTCTGATTTGTGCCTGCTGCTATTCTTTGATGCATCTGGAGTGAAAGAAATAGCAGATGTTTTGATGGGATCTCAACTCCTTGTCATGTTCTTAAAGGCGAATGCTTACTGAATGTATTTAGTTGGCTCAATCAGGCCCCTGTATCTACCTGTGAGAACTTTTTGGATCATGTCTGCTCCGTAGCTATAGATTAATTTTTGTATACGAGCAAACACCATCTAGTAGCATTGTAGTTTTTGTATCTTTCGCTTTGCATCTTCGTGATGCTTATTAATGGTAATTTCTTTATTTAAAAAAAAAGGAATACAGTGATTAATAGAAGTTTATGTGAGTTTCTGAATTGTTTTATTTGCATTGACTGTGGTTAGTGCCTCCTGCCTTTTGAAGTTTCTCCTTTCACATATTTCAACAGTAGCTGATTATTTGCCATGCGGTGGAAGGTTTCCTCCTTGTTGCCTTTCCTCCCCTGAAATCTTGAATGTCAATGCTTGCTAACATGTTTTTGCTTGTAGTTTCTGAATTCAGCTTGTTGAAATAATTCAATGTTAGCTTATGTATTTCTATGTTTTTGTCGATGTCTCATTTGTGCGTTATTGATTTTCTGGCAGGTGGTTACTCCAATTGCACCATTAAGTCAGCAGGTATTTTCAATGGGCTTTTCATTTACATGTTTATACCTAATTGTATGGATGCAATTCTCTTCTTCTGTATTTGTTGTTTCACTTTGTTGTTAGCAAGCAGCAAGGACATGGTCCACTATATAGCACCAAATAAACGTGCAAATTCCATGAAATGATCTTCTAAACTGGGGAATCCTTTTCTTTTTTTAGTGCTAGTCTGCCTTCTTCGGAGTTCCCGAACTGTGTGTAATGCAGTTTCCCAGATACTTATCAACCTTTTGAAGTAGTACTCCAGAGGGTTTTTCCTTAGAGAGACGATGCTGCATTTTGATGTTTGTTGTAGAATTCATTCAATCTAGAACTGAATGGCAGGTAGATGCCCAGCCATCAATGTAGAACGCGATATACTTTTGTTCGTCCATCTCCTCTTAATAAATCTTGTGTTTGCATGACCCTTCATGATGAATCTCGTGAACGTCAGATCGTTCATGGTTTATTTGTTGACAATCAAATGAAAAGTCAGGACATATTTGGTCCCTAGAGTTTTTTTGCAATTAGAGTTCTCGCAGTTCTGGTATATTTTGTAAATCAGGCAATTTCTACAGTGTTGCTGAACATAAGGTATTATGGGTGCATTATAATATAGTTTATGGATAAGAAACTTGTTTTACAACTTTTTGTGCACGTCATGGCTTGAACCACCTTACTGTGACTTGTTTAGTGGTAACTAAGATTTATGTTTCTTGGCATGGCATGATTTTTTCTCTTACTACATATAAAATGATGTAATTTGTTGCTTTGCAGGCTGGATATTATTGCCCAGTATGTGAATGTGTGGTGAAGGATTCTGCGAACTACTTAGACCATATCAATGGGAAGAAACGTATGTCATATCGACACAAACTTAACTTCTTACTTGTAGCTGCACTTTGCCTCTGTGGCCTTTTATTTTCTTATTAAGTGCTACTTCAATGGTTTATACTCAAACTCAATTGATGTGTTATTTTTTTTCAGATCAACGAGCTTTGGGTATGTCTATGCGGGTAGAAAGATCCTCTTTAGAACAGGTGGTTTGAATATAATTTGTTGGCAAGAAAGTATAGTTTCTATTCTGTATTGACAACTGCACAAGGAATAGACTCGGATAAATTGAAATTTAGTTGACTTCATATGACATGATAACTTGGGAAAGAAAAAAAAAGAGATGGTTAATCCAAAAGAAAAACCTAGTATTTTCAGGGTAAAATTGCATATTGGGTGTGCTATAAGTGGGCACAATGAAAGCATTGAAACTATCCTTGCTCAATGTTGTAGGCTATAGATGAAAATATACCTATTGAAATTCATTTGCAACTCGAATTTTATTCCTTTAGTAATCTTTTATTTCATGATTCCCAGGTCCAACAACGATTTGAGGCATCCAAGAAGCATAAAGATACAGGAAGCTTTACTGTGCAAGGTAGAGATCTTACTAGAAAAATAGAGGGATTGATAATCAGTCTCCTAGCTTAACGAACAGTTAATGCATTTATTGGTTGAGTACCTTGTACGTAGTAATAGCAAATATTGATGTTTTTTCCTTTTTCTCTGTTGCACGTCTCAGTATGACTTGTTTAATTCGTTCCGTGTGTGCTTTATTTTAGTGGGTAAAAGACCGGGATGCACATATAGGACTGCTATTGACCATCTGTCCTTTTATTTGTAGATTTTGAGGAGCGATTGTTGAAACAACAGCAGGAAGAGGAAGAAAGGAAACGTCAACGTCGAGAAAAGAAGAAAGAGAAGAAGGTTTGTGAAGCTTACTTTTGGATGTTAGGTTTGGAAGACTTTGGTACTGATAAAATAACGCAGATGTTGGTCTTACACTTTTCTCTCTATCCGTTACACCCTTGCCCTCTCTCTGCAGTGCTTTCTCTAAAAAACTTCCTTTGATGGTTACTTCGGTTATTTGTATTGATATCCAGAAAGAGAAGGCTGCAGAGGAGGAACCTGAAATAGACCCTGAAGTTGCAACTATGATGGGATTTGGGGGTTTTGGAACTTCAAAAAAGTGATCACTTTGGCCATCGATCTCTCGCGAGAATAGCTTGGACTGGATAATCTGCCAGAGGCGTGTGCTTTATTTTGGAATGGTCTAAAATGTGAGAAATTCCATTTTAAGTAGTAGCCAAGCAGTTGAGGTTTGTCAAATCTCATGTTTGTCAATCCAGCCTCCAGAATTTTCTCAATGAATGATTGTACCACTGGTTTGGAGTATAGATGGCATCTCCAATTGTTCCTTGCTGATTGAAGAGTCCTAAATCGCTCTGCACCACTGTCATCCACAATGCAGATTATTTTCATATGCTTAAAAGAAATACTCTTACTTTGGGTTTAAATCCAGGTAATGAAGAACATCAAGAAGGTTTGAAAGTTCTCGACAAGAACGTAAACTGTGGTTCAATGAGTGGTTGAAAGGGACGGAGCCAGAAGCACGTTAACGAGTTCGGCCGAACCCAGTAGCTTTTGCTCAAATACTGTATTTGTGTTAAGAAATTTATTAAAAATGTACAAATATTGAATTTAGAACCCAGTCATGAAGTTGTCATTCTATAATCCGGAACCCATAAAGTTGAATGGATAATTTTTTTTAACTTTTCCATTGCTGAGGTTACGGATATTCTTGTATAGTACATCTTTTGTAGTAATGCTTTCAGATAACGAAACGGCCTTTTGAAATGAAATGTTCAGAGGTATTCGTATTGTATTGGTTCAAGCTTGTTGAATATGAGAGTAGGAAAAGCACAAGCAGTTCAAAACTTAGCAGACATAAAAAGTTGAATTGCATGAGTCATTATTGTTGACTTTCAAGCGAATGGCCTTTCTCGAACAATAAAAGCAGTTCCCGCCAAAGGTTGAATCTTACTGCAATCTCGCGACCACTCTCCAGTAGCTGTCTTTCAGGGAATTTGCTCCTCTTCTGGTTGTGCATATGAACAGAGGGAGCCGAGAGGTTGAGCGGAGGATTCTCCGTCTTCTCCACGGTCACAAATCTCGAACCCATCTCACTCAAATCCATGCCCACATCCTTCGCCACCATCTTCACCACTCCAACCAGCTCCTCTCCCACTTCATCTCCATCTGCGGTTCCCTTAATAAAATGCTCTACGCATCCCTCGTCTTCCAGCATTTTCACAACCCCAACATTTTCCTCTTCAACTCCATGATCAAAGGCTACTCCTTATGTGGCCCGTATCAAAATTCTATCTCCTTATTTTCCACCATGAAACAACGTGGCATTTGGCCTGATGAGTTCACTTTCGCCCCTTTACTTAAAGCTTGTTCTAATCTTGAGGATCTGAAATTGGGTCAGAGTGTGCAAAAGAATGTGCTTGCACTTGGGTTTGAGAGATTTGGGTCGATAAGGATTGGGATTATTGAGCTGTATTGCGGTTGTGGGAGGATGACGGATGCTGAGAAGGTGTTTGATGATATGTCTCATAGAGATGTGATTGTTTGGAATTTGACGATTAAGGGTTATTGTAAAAGCGGAAATGTGGATATGGGGTTTGGTCTATTTAGTCAAATGGGTGAGAGGACAGTTGTCTCTTGGAATTTGATGATTTCGTCATTAGCTCAAAATGGGAGGGAGAAGGAGGCGCTGACACTTTTTGCTGAGATGAGGAATAGTGAGTTCGAGCCCGATGAAGCTACGGTTGTTACGATGTTACCTGTTTGTGCTCATTTAGGAGAAATTGATTTGGGAAGGTGGATTCACTCTTATGTTAAGTCTAAGGGTCTCTATCCTGATCTCGTATCCGTTGGCAATGCATTGGTCGATTTCTTTGGAAAATCTGGTGATTTGGAAGCTGCTTTTACAATATTCAAGGACATGCCTCGGAAAAATGTAGTTTCTTGGAACGCCATGATATCAAACTGTGCTTTTAATGGTAAGGGTGAATTGGGAGTTAAATTGTTTGATGAGATGTTAGATGAAGATGTGAGACCTAATGATTCAACTTTTGTGGGCGTTCTAGCATGTTGTGCCCATGCAGGTTTGGTTCAAAGAGGTGGAGATTTGTTTGATTCGATGATTGGAAATCATGGTATAGAGCCTACACTTGAGCATTACGGATGTATGGTTGATCTTCTAGGTCGTGGGGGTTGTCTAAAGGAGGCTCATAGACTGGTGAAAACCATGCCAATGGAACCAAATGCTGCTATATGGGGTGCATTGGTTAGTGCTTGTCGCACTCATGGTGAAATGGAGCTGGCCGAATATGCACTTAAGGAACTTATAAAACTTGAACCTTGGAATTCTGGTAACTATGTATTGTTATCCAATATTTATGCTGATAGAGGAAAATGGGAAGAAGTTGAAAAGGTGAGAATGTTGATGAGGGGAAATAGCATTAAGAAAGCACCAGGACAGAGCACGGTTGTTTGATTATTTGATGCACTTTATCAGGACATAGCTGCACCCAATAGGATGAGGGGAACTATTGGGTGTTGGCTTCTTGCATCAAGATATGATCCCTTCTATAAACAGCTCTTTCTAATTGATTCCCTTCTGCAAAGTTATGCAACGAGTGAAAATAACTCTCAAGGAGAAGAAACATATTGAAGGGACCTTAACGAGGATTTTGACCTTTCTTTGACAGTCTTTGGACTTTGAGTGCATGAAAGTAATTTGAACTGAAAACAGCTTAGCTTGGATTGTCAAATTAAATGATATGCAAGCTAAAGAGCTCTGATTTTGAGAAACAATGCCTATAGGCACTGGCTGCTGACTGCTCAGCTCTTGGATCGGATGATGCAAGTGTCAAGTGAAAAGGAACTCCCTTTGCACCCCCTTGTGCTTTATTACACATACAAGTACCTTTTTCTTATCAGTCCTCCATAAGACAATAGTCAAATTTGGTGACTAGTATTTTAGTGTTCACTCTCTCATGTATGGCTTTAGCTCCGAGACTGGAATTTGGTTGAGCCATTTTCCTGCCTTTTACCTTTGGGATTTAACTGTTTTGTCTCTCCTTTTTTCTTGGGAAACTTGAAAGCAAGAGAGGTTGAATTGCTGATAGTTTTTGTAGATTATGGCAGTGACGTGCTAGGTGTGACTCAAGGTTCCATTTCCCCTTATTTCATTTCTCAAATTCTGTACTACTATTGATGGAAAAACAAAGAGTAGAGAGAAGGATAAAAGAAAAACTGGGTTTCCTTTCCCGACAAATGAAGAACTGGCTATTTTACCTTGTTTCTCCTTTTGAATTTCCACAGTTTGGTGATGGAGAAAACAGCTTGAAAAAAGAGTGGAGATGCGGGGTATCGATCCCCGTACCTCTCGCATGCTAAGCGAGCGCTCTACCATCTGAGCTACATCCCCATGATGCGTTAGTGCAGTGTTAGCTCTACAAAAAAGTATACACTGAAAACCTCACATAGCCCATAATGCAACTACTGCTGGTGGACTTTGGGCTTAAAATTTTTTACTTTAAGCAAATTCATCTAAATTCCGACCAATACTAACAGATACCAAAGTACGAGATGCATTGTGCAGATTTTAAACGGTGAAGATTGTGAGGAGAAACGTTTTTGTGTGTGATTTAGATGAATCAAGTTGGGGATTTTTAGGGTGGCTGTGTGGATGAACTAATTGTGGAGGTGGTGAAAATGGTAGTGNGGGGGGGGGGTGTTGAGGTGGCATGCCATGTGGTGCCACATGGGATTGAGAGACCACCCTAGACAAACTTAACGGAAGAGGGGTGTATTTGAACCATTTGGATAACGGTGGGGTATTTTTGTACTGAAAGTATTACAGAGGATAAAATTGATCCTTTTCACGTAGTAGAAAGGCAAATTTAAATTATGATGCCGAACAATTGATTTTTAAAACTACAGAAGGACTGGCTCCTAGATGTCCTGCGCAGACTTGTAGTAAGGACAATTATAGTACCTGAATATAATTCGAAGATACTTTGCAGATGCAGTTTACACAGTTTTTGGTCAAAGAAACGTATAATTATCTATGCAAAACATTATTGCAATGGACGGTGAGACACTTTCGGCAGGGGAAAGGAGTGAACTGGAACGTTTTACAACCTCAAAAACAGGAGATCCAACAATGAATAACTTGCGCTGAAAACAGGATTATTATTAATAAAATTAAAAAAAAAAAAGAGCAGGATACAGGTTAAACTTAGTTACTCCCAGACCCAGTATAGACAAATAACTTTGTTAACTTTTGTACCATATATAGATGTCTGGATCAACATCTTGACCACTATTGGTAGTGAACTACCCAATCACTATTTTACTATTCAGTCTCCACCGATAAAAGTGGGATGAAGTTTATCAACAGAATACATAAATCAACAACCTTTTCTGGCACAGCCCCTAACAGTGTCATCGCACTGGCTTTCTGCCTCCAGAAACTAGAGCACTTGAAGGAGCTAAAATGAAAAGGAGGGATTAACAGATATGAACCACACAAAAAAAGCCGCAAAATAAATTAACGACACCATATGTCCAAAATTCATGCTACAATGTGCAACAAAAGAGTCCAAAAAGCACCATCTCATCATGATAAGTTGAATGGTTTAGACTCTCACTACCAACATTATATTTTCAATAACAATTGAAGAGTAGACAATATAGTAGAGAATACTCCTTTTACTGTTTCACTAGAAACCTGGAACAAGAGAAACTATAACCCATAGTGATAACAAACATCTTCAATTTATCCGGTACAAAAGTAAGAATTAAAACAGAATTACAAAATGTCACCTCCTAGACCCATTACTTGATATACTGAGACATCCATCTGAAGCCTTCTCCGTATCCCATTTTGCGGACTATGCTGCACATGAATACCTCAACTGGACGGACATTGGAATCTGCCAGGTTTACCTTCCCCTTGCCAGTGGTGACGCCCGTCAGCCCCATATGGTAACGCAGTTCATCTTCTGAGGCAGCATATGGGATGTCTATCTTGTTACCCAGTATCAGAAAAGGAACAGTGGCCAACGACTCATCAGAGAGGAGAGCATCCAGCTCTTTCTTGGACTCTGCAAACCTTTCTTTGTCAAAGGAATCCACCAGGTATACAACAGCATCCACCTTCAGAAAAAAGAAAGGTTATAATAAACACAACACCAAAATTATTCAGATTAACACTTGGGACTTCTTATCTAGATTTTGCAGGCAAGTGCTTCAAGACGAGCAAACATATAACACAACAGTCCAACTAATAAAAATCTAGTTTTGAAAAACAGAACTATGAATAATGGTCATTAGTAAAGGGAATTGCATCTGTAATTCCCTCTTTGCAGTTTTTGGTAAGTAGCACGAAAATCATACTTAGAACTGCCCATTGGACAAGCTTGTGCACAATTGCAGCACGAGTGAAATAGTATGTTTTCGGCTTTCTCACATAAAAACTGTCCCTACATAAGACCACAAATTTGCAAATAAAGGTGATCTATAGAAAGTTCAATGTTGTACAATCTCTATTAATATGACATCTGTAAATGTCTATTTAGAGAATTTGTACAAATAACAGTGACAAATGGAAATAATTCATGAAAAAATACTCTAAAAATATTTAACAAGAAACAGACCTAACTTGCTCAGACATGGATAGAAGATCTTAAGCAAGTCTTTTTGAAAGATATAAGAAAGTGGTTGAGTAGAAAGAAAGACGGAAGAGCAAGCAAATGGGAAAGAGATTATTCATGTCTTATTTGACACTGAAACTTCTTCACACATCTGATGTTGTCACTGCAGGAGAAATGGCTACAGCCAATCCACTGATGTTCCTTGTTGTCAATATCCAATGTTGTTCCTTGGATAGCTACAAACTTCAAAAGCAGGGAAAAATATGCCTATGTTTTCCGTATAAAGATTCAAATTTTCGCGAAAGAAATCTTTTGTCAATGCAGATAAATATAAGTGTATGGTGAGGTACTACTGAAACATCCCCTGGAAAAAAGAAAGGTGCTATCAGCAAACTCCCAACATCAATATATGCCTCCCATGAATCAAATAAACAATGGGTTTATTTGGGATTATGAAGGCATTAAATCATCTGCCTAGGGATACACATAATACTGGTAATAATACAACAATCAAATAACTAGTGGAGTTTTTGTGCATCCTGCATTCAAATTTCATATTAGATAAATTCTTAAACCTTGTTGAAAATGTCAAAATTGCTACCAGAACTTTTTGTAAAGCTTCTCAAACATTTAAGAATCCCCCAAAACAAGAAATTGGCAATGAAGATGGTGCAGAGAGAGTAACACAATCCCGTGGAAATAAGTTGGTAAGAGCTCAGAAATGAAGTTAGCAATAGCATACTGTAAGGCACTACTTCTCCAATATTAGTAGGACAAGAAGATGAAATCACAATTGACTTGTCAATTTTAAGACCACGTTCACCCTCAGAATCTTATAAAGCATACAAAACCATTTGCAAGTCAAAAATCTAAATTAAGACAAGAAGAGAAACAAAAAGGCAACCTTAGCATAATAATCTTTCCAAACACGACGAGCAATTTGATGACCACCCAAGTCAAATGCTTTGAACTTGATCTTGCCAATACTAAGCTCCTCTGACGTCGGATATTGTGTTGGCTGATGTTGAACCAATCTCTGCCATAACCCTCAATTTTCAGATTCATTATTACAAATAACCAATAACCGAAAACAATTCTGCTCAAACTAATTAGTAAACTAATTCTTTCCTTGTGAAAATAAGGCCCAGGAAAAAAAGAGTCTCATCAGGACAATTCAATCTCAGGTGAAAAAAAGGAGATCAGAAAATCAGATGAAGCCCAGGCTTAGAAAGAAAATCAACCAATTACATATGCTCATCAACATAATAAATTCTGATACATATAATCACATCTAGATATGTAAGCTAACGGCTCAATTTGTATTACTAAGAAACACTAATCTAATAGAGGAAATGAAAAAATACAAAGAAAAATAGAGAGGAGAGAGACCTCATCTTTCAACATATGGAGTAAGGTGGTTTTGCCGGCATTATCGAGGCCCAAAAACAAGATCTTAGCCTCCTTCTGCCATAATCCAAGCGTTGCTAGAATTCCATAGAACCAATCTACCAAGAACATCTTGTTGCCCAAATCAAAGCCCAATATAATTGGGGACGGATTGATCAATGGATCTACGAACAGGAAAAGGGGGTTAGCAATCTCTCAAAGGAGAAGTGCTTTAATTTTTTCTCCTCCTCCTCTTCCTCGAAACGCTAAACACCTGGCTGGCTTTAGTAGACAGAGAAAAGTCCAAAGGTTAGGTTTGTTTTTGTCTGCATATATAACTGGCCAACCCTAGTCCCTCACCTTTCCCATAAATGATAGCGGCTCTTAGAATAATATATATTAAAAAATAAATTTTATATATTTTTTATATTATATTATATTATTATTATAAAAACACGGCCGTTAAGACGCTAAATGTTAAACGACAAAAATATTCATAAAATATTAGCTGACCTTTATGCCCTTGAAAACAAAATTACTTCTTAAAAAAATTCTTACAAGATAAAATTTGTAATATGTAATTTATAATTTTTAATTCAATTAAACATGTCTACTAGAATTTCGGACTATCAACTCATTAAATCGTTTCTGAGTCAAACTAAGTATGATGAGATTTCTATGAGAAGGGCATTACGCTACGTATATTCAATTCCATCAAGGTTTCATATTCAATAATAATCATATTTAATTCCATCAAGGATTCACCTTAAATAGTGTGTGCTCTAAATAGAATATTTGAGCCTCCAAATTATAGTAGCAACGCGTGTGTTCCTGGTGTCTTCCAAGTAGAATTTGCAATGGTTTTGGAACTTTTGTTCATTTATAAGTTTGCATTATTTTGGAACAACAAAATATAGTCCAGCCAATTTTAGATAAAATTAAAATTATAAAACAAACCCGATAACGCAATTTCTGTCTAAGATGATGATGTGGGTTGGATGTCGATTTCATATTTTTAAGGTTTCATCATATAAATTTTGCGACATGAGTGTATTGGCCAATGAACATAAAAAAT